GAAAAAGTGAAAAATTTACCCTAAAAATTTCGCAAAAGGTGAATAGATTTTCAGAAACACGCTGGGGCACTGTAGAATTCTTCTTAAATTTTCAAAGAAGTATACTTCTTGGAAAATTTCGATCTATTTTCAAGATTTTCAGTACAGAGTATAACTGCGTTTCATTTTCTTCCGTCGTCAGATGCTACGAGTCTGGGCATCCTCGACTTCAATGGCTCATGGCTCAACTCCCTTGCCATAGACAAACGAAGGGGGAGTCCAGGGGGGCCTGGCCCTCATAGAACTGATAATAGTATTATATGCCCCCCCCAAAAAAAATAAATAAATAAAAATTTTCCGGATGTTTTGAATGCAACAATTCGAAAGGATTTTGTGCTGAAAACATAAAATAAACATAATTATTCCGCAGAAATTGATGGAAAAATTCTTTATGGAAGCTTCAAGATGCGTCCAATTAGTCGTGTAAATTCTAAAATTTCTCGGGAGATGCCCCTCGGCCACCCCCCCCCCCCCGTGCTTGGGGCACGGACCTTAAAACTGGTACCAGGGCCCGAGATGGGATGTGGCGAGCCTGCATGAAGGCTATTTCCATTTAAATCTTCCGTCACATTCATAAGGCGGAATGATACAACTATTTGAACTCTCCGGAATGCGTGAGGTATCACGCCGCATTTGAAGGCGTTTTCAAAACAGCCAAGTTCCGATGACCGGATTATCGTTTTGCATAGTTCATATTCATTAGTTATATTCCGTGCCACTTTTTTATTTTTAATCCTCGTAGAAAAACCACCCATTTGCAAATACAATTCCAGCTGCAGCGCACTTCAGCTCTGCATTCACCACTGCAAAAATTTCAGAGGAAATCGACAAGCTCAGCGTGCACGGAGGCTATTTCCATTTAAATCTTCCGTCACATTCTCACGGCGCAATGATACAACTATTTGAACTCTCCGGAACGCGTGAGGTATCACGCCGCATTTGAAGGCGTTTTCAAAACAGCGAAGTTCCGATGACCGGATTATCGCTTTGCATAGTTCATATTCATTTGTTATATTCCGCGCCACTTGATTATTTTTAATCCTCGTAGAAAAACCACCCATTTGCTAAATACAATTCTAGCTGGAGCGCACTTCAGCTATGCATTCACCACTGCAAAAATGTCAAAAGAAATCGAAACGCCCATTGTGCATGAAGGCTATTTCAATTGTAATCTTCCGTCACATTCATAAGGCGGAATGATACAACTATTTGAACTCTCCGGAATGCGTGAGGTATCACGCCGCATTTGAAGGCGTTTTCAAAACAGCCAAGTTCCGTTATCCGAATAATCGTTTTCCATAGTGCATACTATTTTTTCCATTTCTAACCACTTCTTTAATTAATATCCTCCCATAGACACCACCCATTTGCTAAATACAATTCTAGCTTAACCCTAGTCTGCCTGAGCCTCTGAACCAACGAGAAAGCCTGGGCGGGGTCAATTTGACCCCAGCTGAAAATCAATTAGTTAGCTATGTTTTTTTCATGTTTTTAGTTAATATCAGTGCACTAACCTTACAGGCCTTAACCATAAAGCATATCTTAGTTTTAAAAAACACGGCGCAGGGTATGCAACCATTTTATCATACACATGTTGCCATGTTGCATAATATTGATATTTTTGTTTGTTGCTCTTTTTATTTATGTTTTCAGATAATATCAGTGCATAGTAAGCTTAGGTGCCTGAGAAAAGGAGTGCCTAAGACTACAAGATGCCTTGAAGGGTATGCAACAACCACTTCATTACACACGTTGCCAAATTGCATACCCGACTCATAATAAACATACATTCTGTTTCTTTCTACTCTGTTTCAAGAAATAGGCGTATATTCTCTTTCTAAAATTAGAGAAAAAAAGAAAGAAGTAAATTTTGAACAAAAAACTTAATATATAATTGAAAATTTAATTAAGTTTGACAACTACAAGTTTGGTAAATTTTTTCTCAGCATGAGAAAAAAATAATCATAGGGCTACTAAATACTGAAAACGAGAAAAATCTGAAAAATTTTGCTTGTTTTATAAGTTTCTGAAAAAAATTAAAAAGAGAAAAATGAATACACCTTCAAAGTAAGCTTTTTTGATGCTAAATGGTAAAATATATGTTATAAGGAATAAGAGAAAAGAAATGAACCTCTAAAAACTAAAACGTAGTTATAAGCTTAGCACCATATTTATGAGAACCTACATTCTAGGTACGGTGAGGAATGAAAAATAAAACGTAGAAGGTAACATAAGTACGGAGGGCTCAGCTTATGAATTACTAGAAATTAGGTAACATAACTACGGTGGGTAAGTTAAAAATTGAAAAATATACAAAAATAAGCACACTGAAGGCACCAAATAATATTACTCTAAAAACACTTTGGCTCAGTCCTTATTGGTATCGAGCACTTATTGTTGAAATAAGTTTTGGTAAACATTTTATAATACTACAAAAAGCTAAAAGTCTTGGAACTAAAATTAAAAATAAAAATAGAAAAAGTCCCTTTTATGGCACACAGTTGAAAAGAGTCGCTATCCTAAAAAAATACATTGGTAAAAATATAAGGAAAAATTAGTATTCAGATTATTCGCAGCTTTGGCAAAGAACAACACTGTGTATTGGACAAACATGTTTGCGCCAGAGTTACATAAACCAGAAAAGTGGAGAAATCTTCAAAAAAAAACTCAACTAGATTGAAGAACACGTTCATCTAATCACAGATTGACACTTTCTCTGTTTTTCACGAAATAAAAGTAATAATACTACATATTTCTTGTAAAAATAAGCTTATGAAACATGCTAGATATTGTTATCACAAAACATCAACCTTTCAAAACATGAACATAACCACAAAACCAAAACAAGCAGGGTTACCAACTGTCTTTGTGAATGAAAAGTGAAATACACTAGGGAAAACACGTCGGGGTCAATTTGACCCCGCTCAGGCTTTCTAGGGGTACTCGTGAATTTTTTGATCTCTCGTGCACATTTTTTTTTCTTCTTTTTTTTCCCCTTCAAAATCGTGTTCCTAGATGTTTTTGTAGACCTATCTGTGAAGGACAAAAAATTTCGTGCATGCCACGAGAAATGGCAAAGAGTTGAAACCCCCGTGGGGTCAATCTGACCCCACTCAGGCAGACTAGGGTTAAGCGGATTTCAGCTATGCATTCACCACTGCAAAAAGTTCAGAGGAAATCGACAAGCCCAGCGTGCATGGAGGCTATTTCAATTGTAATCTTCCGTCGCATTCTTACGGCGCAATGATACAACTATTTAAACTCTCCGGAATGCGTGAGGTATCACGCCGCATTTGAAGGCGTTTTCAAAACAGCCAAGTTCCGATGACCGGATTATCGTTTTGCATAGTTCATATTCTTTTGTTACGTTCCGTACCACTCGTTTTATTTAATTTTAGGCCGCGGCCGCCATCTTGGATATTGAAACTTAAAAAATTGGACCACAAATTCAAGTTTCCCGTTGAAAAATACTCCCTCACACAGAGTTTCACGAAAATCGATGAAACAGGAGCCGAGATAGCATTTAAAACCACGTTCGCCATCTTGGATTTTTGAAATTTGAAAATCTGACCAAAAATTCGAGTTTCAGAAGTTTGGGGGAGGACCTAAGGGCGGTGGCGAGGGGCGGGGACACTGTCTAGCATCGACCGCGGCGGGGTAACGGGTATCGTGGCGCCGGACGGGGCGGGGCGGGAGGCTATCGCTACGAGCGATCTGTGGGCCAGCGCGGTGCGGTGCGGCGCGTGAGAGGGGAATCCTCGGACCCGAATCTCTTGCGCACGATCAGTTTTAATATGGAGAAAATGATTACGAATTCCACGTCAGGATTTCGAATCGCTTTCTGGTGAGAAATTAGAATATGAAAGTAAAATAGGCAATGCCCGGTGTAGTTCTGATTAAACTCGTTCAATTACTAAATCATAATGTAAAAACGGAAGGATTCCATTCAGCTTTATAATATTCCACGATTTACTCGAGTCAAAAAAAAAATGGCGGCGACTGTAGGTGGGAGAAAGTGTGAGCGCAGCGGTTGAGATGGGGCTTATTGCCAACCTTTGACGTTTATTACTCCGCCTATTACCATATTTTATACCATAGAGGCGTAAGGTGTAATTGATGTTTTCAAATCCAATACAAAAAGTTGGATTTTGTCTACCTTCGGGATGGGAGTAAATCTTACGTTCATATTGGCAAATAAAACCTCATTGTCTACATTGGCAAATGATCTGCATCTGCATCTGACCACCGTCATTCGTCTATATTAATGGCCTCGTGAAGTCTTATCAGAAACGCGCACGAACAAAAACCGCGCCATTGCACCGCGCAGCTCGCTGTGAGATCGCGCGCAAATTCGCAGGCTGCTCTAATTGGACGTTGCTAGAGCCACGCCTCTTCCCGGCCATCATATCCCTCTCAACGGCTCCTACTTCTATTCGATCATCAAATTAAACCAATCAGAAACACGGACAGACAAAAACCACGCCCTTGCCCCGCGCAGATCGCTGTGAAATCGCGCGCAAATTTGCAAGCGGCCCTCATTGGACGTTGCTAGAGCCGCGCCTCTTTCCCCCGTACTGACCTCTTCCCTTACATCTTATCCCACCGCTCAACCGTAACCCGACCCCCGCCATCGGATTGAATCGGACCAATCATGCGCAAAGCTGCTCAGTGGCCGTTGCTAGGGCAGCGCTTCTTTTCCCCGCACTAACCCTTTTCCTCCCGTCTTATCCCACCGCTCAACGTTGCCCCTACTCCCATTATCTGATGAAATCGGACCAACCACGCGCAAAGCTGCTCATTGGCCGTTGCTATAGCAACGCTTCTTTCCTCCGCACTAACCGCTTCCCTGCTATCTTATCCCACTCAACCATGTCCCTTTATTCCATTCGCTCTTCAAATTATACCAACCAGGAACTCGTGCGAACAGGACCACGGCATTGCAACGCGCAGATCGCTGTGATACCTCGCGCAAAGCAAGTTGCTCATTGGACGTTGCTAGCGTCACGCCTCTTTTCCCCGCACCGGCCCCTTCGCTTCAATCTTATCCCACCGCTTAATAGTTCCCTTACTCTCATTCTCTGATCAAAGAAAACCGATCAGAAACACGCGCGGACAAAACCACGCCATTGTACCGCGCATATCGCTGTGTAATCTCGCGCAAGATTGCAAGTTGCTTATTGGACGAATGGACGTTGCTATGCTACATGGGTCATTCGCCTATTTTTCTTTAACTTCCTCTCTTTTTTCTTTCACCTTCATTATTGATCGATTTTTGTGAAATTCGGTGTAATAAGGCATTTTATGACGGGAAACTCGAATATTGTGACCCAATATTCGAGTTTCTAATTTTGTAAATCTGACCGATTTACAAAATTTAAAAATCCAAGATGGCGGCCTTGGCCTGACGTGGTATCTCGGCTCCTCTTCAATCGATTTTCGTGAAACTGGGTACCTATCGGGAGGTATAATAGGACGGGAGACTCGAATTTTTGGTCTGATTTCCAAAATTTGAAAATCCAAGATGGCGGCCGTGGCCTAATATGCTGTTTCGGGTTCACTTTGATCGATTTTTGCGAAACTCGGTACCAGATGGTATTTTTCAACGGGAAACTCGAATTTTTGGTCAGATTTTTAAAATTTCAAAATCCAAGATGGCGGCCGTGGCCTAATATGCTGTCTCGGCTTCACTTTGATCGATTTTTGTGAAACTCGGAATCAAGGGGTATTTTTCAGCGGAAACCTCGAATTTTTGGTCAGATTTTTAAAATTTCAAAATCCAAGATTGCAGCTGTGGCCTAAAATGCTAAGTCACCTCCTGTACGGTCGATTTAACTAAAACTCGGTATCCGAAAGTATTTTCCGACGGGAAGACGTATAAGCGCATTCATGACTGCAAAAATGTTAACGGGAATCGAAAAGGCCGGCGTGCACAGAGGCTATCTCCATTTAAATCTTCCGTCACATTCTTACGGCGCGGCGCAATGATACAACTATTTGAACTCTCCGGAATGCGTGAGGTATCACGCCGCATTTGAAGGCGTTTTCAAATCAGCCAAGTTCCGATACCCGGATTATCGTTTTGCATAGTTCATATTCTTTTGTTACGTTCCGTACCACTCGTTTATTTTTAATCCTCTTAGAAAAACCACCCATTTGCTAAATACAATTCTAGCTGAAGCGCACTTCAGCTATGCATTCACCACTGAAAAAATTTCAAAGGAAATCGACAAACCTAGCGTGCATGGAGGCTATCTCCATTTAAATCTTCCGTCACATTCCTACGGCGCAATGATGCGTTTATTTGAACTCTCCGGAATGCGTGAGGTATCACGCCGCATTTGAAGGCGTTTTCAAAACAGCCAAGTTCCGATACCCGGATTATCGTTTTGCATGGTTTATATTCTTTTGTTATATTCCGTACCACTTGTTTATTTTTAATCCTCGTAGAAAAACCACCCATTTGTAAATACAATTCTAACTGAAGCGCACTTCAGCTATGCATTCACCACTGCAAAAATTTCTAAGGAAATCGACAAGCCCAGATTGCACGAAGGCAGGCCCGCTGCAAGGGGGGGATACTGGGTCCCTGGCACTGGGGCTCGGGCCCCGGAAGGGGCCCGTGTTACCCGTTAAAAACCACTACGAATTCACTTGCAACCCTTGATTCGTAAGAAAAAGTGAAAAATTTACCCTAAAAATTTCGCAAAAGGTGAATAGATTTTCAAATACACGCTGGGTCACTCTAGAATTCTTCTTAAATTTTCGAAGAAGTATACTTCTTGGAAAATTTCAATCAATTTTCAAGATTTTCAGTACAGAGGGATATTTTTAGTATAACACTGCGTTTCATTTTCTTCCGTCGTCAGATGCTACGAGTCTGGGCATCCTCGACTTCAATGGCTCATGGCTCAACTCCCTTGCCATAGACAAACGAAGGGGGAGTCCAGGGGGGCCTGGCCCTCATAGAACTGATAATAGTATCATATGCCCCCCCCCAAAAAAAAAAAAAAATAAATAAAAACAAAAATTTTCCAGATGTTTTGAATGCAACAATTCGCAAGCATTTTGTGCTGAAAGTATAAAAAAAACATAATTATTCCGCAGAAATTGATGGAGAAATTCTTTATGGAAGCTTCAAGATGCGTCCAATTAGTCGTGTAAATTCTAAAATTTCTCGGGGGATGCCCCTCGGACAACCCCCCCCCTCCGTGCTTGGGGCACAGACCTTAAAACTGGTACCAGGGCCCGAGATGGAGTGCCCCTGCTGGCACTCTCATGATAAAATTCGGTATTCATCTTAATTTAACCGATAACCGATGCCCAGAGTTTGATTCATTTTAGAAATATAAAATAGGTTGGATCAGACTCGTTCAGTCTGCGAGAACTAAAGAAGAAGAACTTTTTTCAAGATAAGGAAGATTACGTGGTTACATAAACTCATTTTAAGAGGCTCAGCTTGATACTGCAAACCGGCTGTTCCGTAGCGCACTTACAACGTGTAGGAATACGATAACAACCTAACCGCAAATTGAGCAGTACTAATTTTCCAGGAGGTGTTCGTAAGTTTTTGGGCGCGTAATATACGTGAAATGATTTTTAAAATAGTCGTCGGAAAACCATGTGTTCGAATCATTATAAAATACTCCGCAAAAAAACAGTAGCATATACGCTCTAAATACGAAACAACTTGCTTTAATTTGCGAACGATGTAACGTCAATTTTAAACCCAGTAAAATTCACTGTATTTCACGTTGTAAATTAGCAACAGTTAACCATTGAAAATATGCAAAAATGGATCGAAAAAAGTGTCAATTTTGTGAACAAACCGGATGGATTCAATTCATGTTACGAATGCCGTGCCGGAATTTTTGCTGTATTGTACACCCACTGAATATTCCTTCATTTTAGACAGCTGTCTATTGAATTATCATAATTGAAAAAACATCCGACATCCTAAAACTAAGCGAATTAATGATAGTCTCAAATAGTTACACCATATACTGCGCTGAAAATAAAAGATTAGCTTTTGTTTCTAACATTTGACAGCTCGCTGAAGATTTCAATATGCGGAAAATTATTCTAGCCTTGCTGATTCTAGGGCCCTGCATAAATGCCTACAAAATTTTGATTTTGTTCCCAAGCCCACTTCACAGCCATCAATTACCAATAAACGCTCTGATCGAGGCTTTGGTTGCAAAAGGACACAGTGTTTTTGCAGTCACTCCAAATTTTATCCCAGTAAGTTGAATATTAATTTTCACTGCGTCAGGTTAGAAAATATAATATTATAAATAGCTTTTGGTGGTTATGTCATCAATGCTAATAATACTAATTTAAAAATAGATGGTAATGGAGGTACCAAAATTCTGCACCTTCACGTTTTCATTTGCACGAGTGTTACGCTTATGGGATGCTCTTTGTTTCTTGCTATTTTCATGTTAAAACACATATTGAGTTTTGGAGGAGGTTGAAAGGGGGAATTAGGCCTAAAAGTTACACTATATTGTAACGTTATGTGGTCACTTACATGTGAGTCATGACTTTTATCATTTTTAATAAATGCTTAAAATACGGTATTTAAATATTATAACGGATTTTTATCATCTCAACCCCCATTGTAATCCGTGTGAATGTACGGAACACTCGTCTTCCGACTGACATGTTTTATATCTGAGGAACGGGAAAACGGAAATGATCCATGTCCCGTAAGAATGAGATTGATTCTCAAAGCAAATCCACACTTGTGAGAAAAATTCTTACATTTGACGACGTTAGCTGAGTAAACACTTTTCAAGTGTGCTATATGAATGTTGCCATGGCTATTAGTCGCTAATCCTTAGACAGAACCTTACTATAACTGATCCGTATAAACACCATATTTTATGGAATATTACGCAGGTTCTTTTAAAAGACATGCATGCATGATTATATTTATGTGAGCTCTTGTGAATATAATTTGTAATTTCGTATGTTTCGATTTTGTAGGGATTGGGATCTAACTACACCCATGTGGACGCGTCCTTTACTTACAAGTATCTTCGAGAAAAAGCGAAGGAGTTAAGTGACAGCGACGTGGTGAAAGAGGTCAGCAAATGGGATAATGTTCCGGGAGTCAGGTTGATCAGCGAGTGTGCCAAACGGCAATACTTAAGCGAACAATTTTTGCAATTTCAACAGTAAGTCAATTTTTGTACTTTTTAAGAAACCCTCTAAATATTTACTTATTTTGAGAAAGATTAAATTTTTTTTGGAGCTTTTAGACAAAGATCCGTTCTTTCTCGGAAACAAATTTTGGTACCAGTCAACTACCTTACAAACCTGCTTAGTTAATCTAAAAAAGCTTTTCTTTCTGGAGCCGTAACTTCGATCACTCCGGGTGCTACGCCCAGAACTTCCAGTCTGTGAGCCCGGAACGCGGACGAATGTCCATTTGGCTTGTAAGTACGGCTTCAACGGCCGGAGTTATTTCAGCCGCTGTTCAAAGGCTCCCTTACCAACTTTGTCCCTTACTCGTAGGGATCTCATTCGTCTCTGTTTCCAGGCAGTTGAAACGTGACAACATCCAGTTCGACGTCATCATTGTGGAGTCATGTTTCCTGCCGTACGGATGCGCCGTGCGTCGGGTGCTGGGCCAGGAGCGGGCCCCTCTCATCACCCTCTCGACGGTTTCCGGACCGGATCTCTTCGGCGAGGGGCACATGGGCAGCATCCTCCACGGCTCCTTCTCGCCGTATCTCCTCAATGGCTACACCGATAGGATGAGCCTCTGGCAGCGCCTCGAAAACTGGGTCTCCTCGTCGATCCTCACGTGGCAGTTCCGCGTGGCCATGGAGGATTCCGTACGGGACTACGTCCGCGAGGCCACCGGAAGGCCCGCCACCCAAGCCGATGTCGACTGCTGGCGCGACGTCAGCCTCGCCTTTTTGGCCTCCAATTCCCTCTACTACTATCCGCGCTTGTTGGCGCCCAACACCATCGAGGTTGGGCCGCTGCATATCAGACCGCTGGAGAAACTTCCTCAGGTGAGGAAAAGCTGACTTAGGTACTTATTTTTTTTTTCTTTTAGCTATTTCAAGCGTCCTCTTTCACCGGAGAGGGCCCAACGGGCGGAATTCAAGAGCGAAGAGGAAGGACAGATGAAAGAGAGGGAGAAGAAGGAAGGGTGAGGAAGGGAGGCAGAGGAAGGGAGGGAGAGGAAGGAGGGAAAGGAAGGGAGGAAGAGGATGGGAGGAAAGGGTGGGAGGGAGGGGAAGGGAGGAAGATGAAGGGAGGGCAGGGAGGGGAGGAAGGGAGGGCAGGGAGGAGGGGAAGAGAAAGGGAGGAAGAGAAAGGGAGGAAGAGAAAGGGAGGAAGAGAAAGGGAGGGAGAGGAAGGGAGAGAGAGGAATGGAGGGGGAGGGGTGAGGGAGAGAGAGAGAGCAAGCATCCAAACAGTGATGCCCCTCCAAAGTCACAAGATCTGAGTTCATCAAATTCTATCACCCTGACAGGGATTCGAACCAAGGGCCTCCTAGTCAGTATCAAAGTCAGTAGTCAGTTCAGCTGATCATCGCTGGGCCAACCAATAATGACCTCATCTTTTGTTAGAGACGAATATACTGTATTGTCACGGAATATAAAGTATCAACGAATGAACATTGCGTTCTATGGAGGTCGTAGGGTTTAAAAAGGCACGCACATCCTTCCCACGCACAATATCTGGAACAGAGTCATTGCCAACCCTCGAATTTGGATAAAAAGCTAACAAGATGGACTGAAGAATAGACTTTCCGTTTCCTCAAAGTCGCCGTAATTCACGAATTTTGACCGAGTGAGCTCCTTGGATAGTGAGAGACTACAATTTCTCACAAATTGTAGCTCAATATATCGCAAATAGTCTTTGAATATGGATTTACTAGCCGCATTCATACTGAAGGAACTATTTACGAACGAATAATATCAATAGGACCTATGGGTCATGCATAGCCCACGTACTTAGGTTCTTTTGCTTTACTTCATTTGCAGACATAGTTCCGTTTAAAGCATGACGTTGAACTAACAACTTTTTCGAGATAACTTTTGTAAAAATTTTCATTTGCTCCTAAAGAACTTGCATTAGATCTCTGTTTAAAATAAATGTTTCTCCTCTTGATGAATCTCATATCTCCTTTTTCAACATGTCCCTCGTGAGTCATAAAACAGCACAAACTTAATTCACCTTCACTCCACTGACGTGACTTCTGCACGTTTTTTGGCCGTCTCGTAATGTACGCTGCTTTAATTTAAGCAGCTTTATATACTTACTCAAAGAGCTAGGATCATGTGAGATCTCACCGGGCAATAACCTAGATTCATTAAATTATCATAACATTAAATATTCAACTATAAACTCGTAATTTAGCAATTTGTTTTCGCTACTCATAATGGGTAAATTCGTCACCGACTCTATTCACACTTGAATGTGTAGAATAATTTACACATGCTCACGATAAATTAAACGCAGGACAGATTTTACACTGAGTTTGGGGCAATATTGTACTGCCGGTTTAATTGCGGAGAATGGACCACTAGACAAGGTACGAATTTAAGCAATCTGATACATGTTTCTTAACCAGAATTTCACGTAAAACACGATTCGCGCAACGAAAATCACTGAAACTAACTCCTAACGAAGATATTATCGTTTTTATTTCACATTGGTTACGAGGAATTTGAACTGCCCGCTCTCAAGAAACTCAAAGCTCTACGTGAGTCAAATCGCTCACTACAACGGTTTCAGAAAGCTTCTCAATCGAGCAATGTTCATTTTCCATCATGTGTTGTTCAAACTATAGGTAAGCAATTTGCTATAGCTGAGCCAAAGCGTCAAGATTGAGGTTGCCAGATTTTTATACAGCAGAGACTGTCATAATAACATTCAGCGCGCGATGTGAATCACGTAGAGAATTGAGTTTTCATGAGCGGGTGGTTTGAATTCACGTATCAAGAATCGTTAAATATCTTTGGAAGGAGTTGAATTCGGTAATTTTCGTTGTGCGCGTCGTATTCTACGTGAAATTTTAGTTACGAATCATGTATCAGAATGCTGAAATTCGTACCTTGTCTAGTGGTCCATTCTCCCTTTAATCCGAACTAAAGCATTAAAAAAAGACGCAAATCGCGTCTGATAACCGGCTACACAGGGTTGAGATACATTACATACTTGTAGAGTAAGAAGAAATAGGTATAGTATTTCCCCTCTTGCCATCTTCCTTAAATGATGGCACCCCTCTTCGAAAAAGATTGAAAAATTGTGTGTCCATCAGCTCAGTACAAATATAATCTCGCAGAGGAAAGATACCCACTTTTCCCCCCTGAAAAGATGCCTAACCATGCGTAAGCTTTTGCACTAGAAGAAGATGAATTTCAATCGTCTGAATTTTTGTTTTATAGGACATACAGAGCTGGTTGGATGGTGCAGAAAAAGGGGTTGTCTACTTCAGTCTAGGGACCAATGTACTAAGCAGCAGATTACACAAAGACAATGTGGCAAATTTTCTCAGAGCTTTCAAAGAGTTGCCTGCCGGGTATCGAGTGCTTTGGAAGTGGGAAAATGGCACTAGAATTGCGGGACAGCCGGATAACGTGATGATTCAAAATTGGCTTCCGCAGCAAAGTGTTTTAGGTAACGTAAGATCATCATCTATTGAGCCCTAGAGAACAACGCTAATATACGTTTCACGTCAACTGACCGACTGCCGACTGCACTGCGTTTAGCGCAATGCGAGAAGTATTCATGCAGTCTTGTAGGCGCATATATGGGCTGTGCGCCGACCGCACTGGTTGGCGCAATGCGCGAAGTATCCCTGAAGTCTCGCAGGCGTTAATATACGTTCAACGCCGCGCCGGCTGCACTGTGTCTGGCGCGGTTATTCGAACTCGTGTTAGATTAATAGCGGCATCGAATAATAGAGCTTAAAAAGCCTATATCGACGGTGAAACTACCAGACCACGTATCTAGTTTGCGGTGTTTAAAAATCTCCACTCACATTTTATTTTTTTGAAGGAGATCAAATTTTCACAGATTTTTCTCCGCACAAAGAGGAAAAATCACGGAAGTTTTCAAGAATTGACGTTGAGTAGTTTTCTATTTAAAAAATAAAGTATGACAGGAAGTCTGCGACGTCGCAAACCGAGATACGTGGTTTGGTAGTTTCACCGTCGATATTTTGTTTCGACGCCGCATGAGAATTCCAACGTTGCCTCGTTTCTCTCGTTTAAATCCTTTTTCCCGAGAAAAGTCAGTCAAGTTCCTCATACCCACGACCATTATTCAATCTTTTCACTTCATTTATCATAATGAGGTAAGACATAGATGACTTGTCAACAACCTAACCTAAAAACTAGCGTTAGCATAAAAATGCGTTTATTTTCCAACTGTTTCCTGTTTTGCCACTCTTCTACCTTAACTTAACTTCATTCTAAATTCGTGCAATCTTCATATATTTTCTTAGACCTTTCGCGCAATCCTAGATCACCGTGAACGGTCACAGTGGGATATGTAGTTTTAAAATATGCACCTATCGAAATATGTGACGCAGCAAGACGAAAGTTTACTAATGGTGGGAGGGGGGGGTGGAATAACTACACCGCAGCTAGGAGAAGTTGATTCTGTATTAGTAGCTGGAGAAAAACCCGGAAATTATACGATTTGACCCTTTAGCAACAATTCAAAGTTTAAGGACAAGAACGAGAAATTCGAAAAAACTGTTGTTTAAGTTCACCGGCGCTGTTGCCAGTATGATGAGTGATTTAATTCTGACGCTTGTAATATCATTAATGATGAAAATAGTGTTTGAATCTTTGGCCGAATGTTCTCGAGAGTTTTAGCAAGTGTTTGCATCGTAAAATGAAAAGCAAATTTTTGACTCCGAACCGGTGTTTGCTGAAAAGATGAGTCTCAACCTCTCGGTATATTTTTGCATGTTGCTGCGGCATTCATTTCTCCTGTTACTTAATCGTGTTCGTTCCTTTGTGGCTTATTGCAGCTCACCCAAACGTGAAAGCTTTCATCACGCAAGGCGGTTGTCAAAGTTTCCAGGAGACCGTTCATTTCGGAGTGCCGACAATCGGAATTCCGTGGGGCTCTGATCAGAAAATGAACGTTCTAAAAATGGTGGGTGTTGGAATTGGCGTCAAATTGGACCCAGTCGAGCTTTATTCCGACAGAAAAATCAAAACGGCCATTAAGACCGTCCTGCTCAATGATAGGTGAGTATTTTCAACTTCTTAATTTAATCTTGCGTAACATTTAAAACTTTATTCGTTGTGAAGAAAGTGTCTTCAAGTTGGAAGAAAAATAGGTAAAAATGAGACGACTGTACCACAATTTAGCGGAGATAATTTTGCGGCATCCAGTGCAAAAAATACCCTATGGCTAAGATGCCAAGAATATTGATCTATGGACCACGTACGGAGATTTCAAATTTGAAGTTTGCCTGCGCTTAGTTAGAATAACGTAGTTGCAAAATTTTGAAATTACCTCTCTTTTAAAAACCTTCCAATATTTAAAAAAAATTGGACCTTGGCAACTTACTTTTTCCATTTACACCACAATTTCTACTTTTGATTCATAAACAATTCAGACTTACTATACTGAAAAAACTCCAGCTATTGAAGCCGTATTTACGGGCAACCTAGACTTACCATCCGCGTTCAAGGCTCAGAGACCGAAAGTTCCGGGTGTGGCACCCGAAGCAGTCAAAACTACGGCTCCAGCTTTCGGAACTTTCAGCCTCCGAGCCCGGAACGGACGGTACGTCTGCAAACTAATTTTATATGGACTCGTGAAATGGATCATTGATTTTTTTCGTATTTCAGTTATATGCACAACATGAAGAAATACTCTGCTATATCACGAGATTTCACATCTCAAGCAAAAGACAAAACTATTTTCTGGATAGAGCACGTGGCCAGACATGGAGGAGCATCTCACCTGAGGCCAGCAACGGCTGACACAACGTTCTTCCATTTCTTCTGCTTGGACATCATAGCAGCAATACTCGCCACAGCTGTACTGTCCGTCTATACAATCATAATTATTTACAAACGCCTCTTTAACAGGTCCTGAGAATAGACCCGGATACGCACTGCTGCCATATAAAGATCCCCGTAAAGATCAATTGTAATGCAAGAAAGAATAAATATGAAAGAAATTAAAAGTATGAGCTTTATCATTATTTTCATCTTTGTAGGTTCCTAATGCATCCGTTTATAGTAATGCTGGAATGATCAGCTAAACACAATTTCATAAACCTATCTATTTTGATCCTAGATTTGCAAAAGAAAATTCAGGTTTTATGTGATCAGGAGACAGTCATCGAGCTCATCATAACATATATGTTTAATCAATCCCTCAACAATTTCAAGTAAAACTAGTCTCAATGCATATTCTGTGAAAAATTCACTCCGCAACTCCAATTTTTAAACATCAAAAAGTCAGTTTGAAATTTCTTTCCGCCATAAAGATCCATGTAATTTCATAACTTGAAACATGTCTTTCTCGAAATAGCAAAAACTGCACTTATGCGGCTTGTCCTCCCAGCCCCTGAGTTGGGACTTTGGGAGTTTCACAGTCGATGTGCTGAAAGAGACTGAATTGCATTGTGTGGAATAAAGCGAACGAGAACTCGTTTAATTACTAATTCAATATTGCTATCTCTGAAAAAAGCCGTCAAAAATCAAACAAGCTTGTTTAATACAAATTTATTTTTGTGTCATTATAATTGATACATTTCCTAAAATACATCTGATCAAACAAAAATTGCGATGAAGTGCAAAAAAAACTGGACCCTGAATAACGTGAGTTCATTATCACTTGATTAAAGCTCGTACGTTCCTGAGAGGAAGTGAGTTTCTCTTTTTATCAACTTACATACTCACTTATCGTCAGTAATTTATACCGTTACGTCAAGAAACGGGCAAGGGAAATGATATTTCAACCGAAAATTGGGCGGTCTATGCGTCAAGTGCATGAGGAGATGACATCACCGGTGTTAAAGACCTTCACCTTCATGTATCTTGTCATTCTATATCTCACTCTCCTTCTTTTTTCTGCCTCTCTTCCTCTCATCGTAGACTATTTCAAAACACACCAAACTTCTGATCTCATTTTTTCACTCATCTTTTGAGTTTTTTATTATTGTTCCTATGTCTCTCTTAATATCTATCTCCAAGAATAATAGGTTACCGATTGAATAGAAATGTGTTCAAATCCAGATATGACTTCAAGCTCATCAATGCAAAATGAAACAGCGGAAACGCACCCACATATGCACGCACGTCACAAAATGTTTAGCAGATCAGCGTTTGCGCAGGTTAGTACTGTGTTTCTTGTTAGGATTGTATGCAGTAGATTTTTATTTTTTTGGTAGACCAACAACCGACTGTAATGTTAGTTGTGATGCTGCGCCTGTTTACAGCTTTAAGTCTTATGTTATATCTAAAAGTCATGTCATTTTGGTGACTAACAATTATTATTCGATGGAAACATTGACGATGTGCACTCCAACTGTTTGGAGACTGGCCTATAAGGAAGTCTGAGAAATGGAAAAATAGAAATGGTCTAGAACAAAATTAGTTTCATTTTATACTTTTTGCACCTCAATACAAACTTCTTATAGTAAAATGCGCGAGTCACGGAAAAAGAAGAGGTATAGGAGTTAAGACCCAATTTGCTTAGAAAGCTAAAATTGCGGTGGTACCCCAATAAATTAGATTACTAGCCCAAATGTACCAAACAACCGCAATAAATTTGAAATGTCTATACCATCCAACGAAATGGGGTAGTGCTGAAATTTTAGGGGATTACCAAAAACACTCTTTTCGTGGTTATTAATGCATAATTTCACTTAATTTAGGTTCTTTCTTTGTTTTTAACGTCTCTTCTCTCGCAATAAATTGCCACGTCAAGATTTCGTTGAAATTATTTTGGGAGGCAAACGTAAGTTGTACCCACAACAGCTGTCGTTTGCTCCTCTACTTTTTCTCGAGTTTGGGTGTCGTGGTAGGTTAATGACAAAACAAATGAAGGCTTGGGGATGAACGTACCTAGCGAATTTATTAACATCGCCCTCATTAGTGATTCTGTTGTGCAGAACTGAGGACCCAGGGTCTTAGGCAAATTCGGGGTCCGAGGAACAGGCCTCTGGCCGTTAAATTTGAACTAAGCACAGCTTAATTACTGATTTAATCGTCAGTTAATATTCGAAATTTGAAGAAAAAGGAAATTAAATTCTCCCAAAGGAAGGCTATGTCAAAAACAACGAAAAGGTACCCTGCGCGAGGCTTCGGCACAATCCTTGTATATTGCGTAATGCATGAATACTTCATTTCACGTTGATTGCCTAATGTTCTATAGATACTGGCAATTTTAATGCAGAACTGTCTGCTCATTGAAGTAGGACTTGATACGGCGATGCCAACCATGGTCATCGGTGCCCTCCACAAAAACCCCTCAGAGACGCTTAATATGAACGATGATGAGGCATCCTGGTTTGGTAAGTACATGGATGAATTCCTCAAAGTAAACAGCTGAAAACTTTTTCAGACTAGCTTAGTTGTTATAATCCTTTTTTAATTGATCGTTTATTCATCAAAACAAACGACAATTAAAATAAAAAGTCGGGTACATTTTGCACCATTTTATGTTTTATATGTATGAAATTGGTATTATTTGTCCACTTTTTGTCATTGGGTCAATCAAACTGGTACTACTTACTTGAGTTCTCTACCTTCACTCGTGTGGATTTGTGTGTTATGATTTTATATTTCCAAGTCATACTCTACAGCAAAAAATGAGTTTCTGGTTTTTTAGCACAAGATTAGTAACCTTGTTAGTCCTTGTCCTGAAAATGTGAGTCACACGTCAACTTCGGTTTTTTATCGCGGAAAGAGAAAGGAGTTTTAGATGAGGAAGCGTTCATAAATAATTACGTAATGCTCTTTTTCGGCATGTTTAACCCCCTTGTAACGCTTCTCGGCGCAATCTAGGACTCCCGTTCGAGCCCCTCCCTTCTTAAGATCCCAAAAATTGAGGGAAACTGCTAAATGTACACTGTACAGCTATGTATTTGAATGACATTGTGACAAGCAACGAAGAAGAAGTAGGGCTTATAAATTTTGAATTGTGTGTGCTTTTTACCAAAAGAGATGGTTACATAACGCTGGCACTACCCAACCCTTGAACCGCAGGCTCATACCCCCTTCCACCTTGAGCGTCACGTAATCACGAACGCTCCTCAAAAATGGACCACATTTTGCAATTTGGAACTATATATATTCTAGTTCGGTTTAAAAACAACGCATGTGCCATTTGTTTCCCTATGCACATAAGTGTTTTTCCAGAAGAGCCAGAATTTATAGTTCCAAATTGCAAAATGCAGTTCAAATATTATTGTATGCTCGATATTCCACTCGCATTTTTGCAAATTTAGTTTGAACGATCATGCATTTAAGTTGACGTTATCACGTTTTGGTAATTTATTCTCCGAGAACGACTATATCATTGGGATTTTGTCTTGTTGAGCAGTGAGCATCCCGGCCATCTTTTACCCTCTGTCCAGCCTCACGTCCGGCTACGTCCAAGAACTCCTCGGCCGGAAAAAAGCCATGCTCCTCGTCACGATCCCGACTTTCGCCGCTTGGATGATCTTATACTTCGCCCAATCCATCTACACTCTGTACGCTGCCTCCACACTCATGGCTTTGTGTAACGGTCTCACCGAAGCGGCCATCCACTCATACGTCGGTGAAATTGGGGAGCCGCATCTAAGAGGGACCCTATCCACCATTTCCATATCCGCAATGTTGTTCGGTACTGAACTCTCTTGTATACTATGGTGATTAGCTCCGGATTTTGGCGTGATCAAACTCGTTTGCGACGTATCGCTCCTATTAAATGAAAAATCTCGGTAGATTTTGAATCTTGGCCCAAAAAAGGATAATAACCCCCGCGCATATGAGCCTTGAGAAACAATCTTAACAAAAAAATTAGCAAAATTCAAAAAAATTACAGCAGGATTCTCTCTAGAAAAAAACCTCGCATTCGATACAGAGGTCGATTACTGTATTGCATATGATACTTTTTTTCAAAAAGAATCCTGCTTTCATTCTCTGAATTTTGCAATTTTTTGGTTGAGAATGATTTTTTAGGCATATGCGCAGGGGCCATCTTTCATTCTTGGGATAGAAATCTGCCGAGATTTTTAACCTTGTCGATGCGATATATCGCAAGCCTGTTCGATCATGCCAGAATCCGGTGCGAATCGCTTTAAATTTCACACGCTTAATAGCAAAAGCAGAGTAAGATACTGCGATGAATCAATAAAATAAAAAAGAGATACAAAAAAAATATAGTTATAAAGTATTTACAAAGAATCATGCATTTGGTTCATCGATATGATCCTTGTTGACAAAGAGGAAGCCAATTTTTTTTTGGCAAGTATGGAATGTCCTCTTTATTTGCTTGAAGGAACTCATCTATTATAAACACTCACGCCGATCTACCGAATACGTCCAAAAACTAAATATGAAGTGGAGATGTCAATACCAAGGTTTATTTTTCAAATTTTATTTATGAATAGAAAAACCAATCATAATAATTTTCAACAACTGGTGGGATGGAGATTAAAAACGAAAAGCACATATTTTTTCATCATTTATACAATTGATCAATTACTCATTTTATGATTTAATTTTTTTCATGACAAGAGTACGTCGTCTCAGTCGGATAATTTGAGAGATCAAAGAATAGCAACAGAATTGTTGCAAAACCATTCAATTTAAATTTTGCCCACTTGACTTCAAGTGGATTATTGTTAGTTGAACGCATTTATGCACAAACAGTTTATATGCTATGGATTCCTCGTGCATTTAGAATTATTTTTAATACATGCGTATTCAATGATCAGTGACTAGTCACTTGAACTACTTGCTGCGCAAAGGTAATTGTAAACCTAGAGATTTTCCGCAGCTTTTTGCTAAATATGTTTCATAAAACGTCTATAGGTAAAAAAATATCCTCAAAAACAGGAGAAAAAGAAATTTTAGGGGACAATTTTCAGTTCTCAACGAGATCAGGTCTAATGTTTCCTTGACTGCCTCGACACGAGAGAATAATTATTCCTCCACATCGATGTATTTAGGGTTTCATAATACAAACCGTAGACTGCTTATTAAGTATATTGCCACCTTGATACATATATACTACATACTACAAGATATCATTTCACCTTTTTCCTAGGTGGACTCCTGATGTTCGTTCTGGGATACTTTTTTGATTGGAGGACGGTAATTTTGATATGCGGTGCATACCCTATCATAACGTTCATGGTCATAAGTCAGGTAAGTTCAAGTTCCGCTAATGGCGTTTTGGGGAAATTTGGGGTCTGGGTGGCAGGTCTCGAACCGGAACATCACAGTCACGCTTAATTACACGTATAAGAGAAGAAAGTAACGCTGAAGCTAACTTTCAGTGTTTGTTCGACAAAGACTGGAATTTAATGCGCTCTCCAGAGATCCTTTAATTCAATATCTACTTAAGATTGAGTGAAGCGATCGGATTTTAATGCACACTTAAGGATCTCACAAGGATATTTTAAAGCGAAATGGTCTTAAAAGCGTCTAAATCACAGACTAAGGTGAAAAGACACACAGAAAGTTAGATTTAGCGCGTAGATATAACTATTCTGGCTTTTTTGTTGCCAGTGTTGCATGCACGAAGAAATGAAGGGGCACTGGCTATTTTGAAACAGTACAAAGTGCCCGAGGGGCGTTCTCATCACGTTTGAATGCGACACTCGGTAGAATTTTGATGTAATTTTCTATAATTAACTTCGCTGCCCATTATTTAGTAAACTTGCATATATAGAAAGGCTCTTCGAGTTGAATTTCGCTCTTTAAAAGTTCGCAGATGAATACAACTGTTATTGCTGTTTATTTCCTTCTAATTTTTTATGACGTAACTAGTTACAAGATCCTTCAATTATATAATATGTAATTTTTTACTTTTTTATTTAACGATGTTCATACATCAGTAGGCATGATTTTTATTATTAATTTTCATCGCCAGTTACCAGAGTCTCCAACGTGGCTGATTGTGAAAAATCGGAAAGAAGATGCCAAGCGAGCTTTGTGCTGGTTGAGAGGATGGGTCAAACCTGAGGAAGTTGAGCAGGAATTTCAGGCTCATCTGAGCCACGCAGAGAGATCTGTGAGTTCAAGTTTGGAGAAATTAGTGTCAAGTAAGTAATATTCGCACAAACCAAAAGTATTTGTACAGCTCTAACAGTTTTACCCAAAATTCGATCTACTAATTATTCAAAAATTTCAAATTTTTGTAAAACTTATCCAATCTTGAACAAAATTTTATGATGGTTGTTGGAAATCTATCAGAAGTAAATTCAAAATTAAAACCTAAATTGACTTTATGCACTATATGTCAAAGCTTTTCCGAGCCATTTTTCGGAATAGTAGATCGAAATACTAAAGTTTGAGCGTTTCTCATAAAAGCGTTTCCTCTTGATCTTGCCATTAGCTGATCAAACGAGTATGGATCTATTACTTAAAACCTTCTGAACATTTTATGAGTTAGAATTTGAATGAAGACAAATTTAAAATGATTTTTCTTTCAGATGGCTCACTTGAAAATCTTGATTATATAAAGATTCAGTTCACGGAGATGGCAAAAGAGAGGGTTCTTCGTCCATTGCGAATGATCTGCATTATGTTTATCATTTGCATAACTGCCTACTGCTGGGCTATAAGACCATATCAAATCGGTGGTCTGAAAAAAATGGGCTCTCCTGTAGATCCTAAACTAGTTTTGGTAAGAATTTGGAATTATTTTGGATTTTTTTAAAGCACCGGGATTGAACAAAAGAATGAACGAAACATGTTGCTCCAAGTTGTGAGATTTTTAGTAGCAAACCATGAACTCTGTCATTTCTGAGTCTAAAATGCAGGATCACATCGTTAAAAGGTTCGAAAAGTTTTGGTATCTATTCCTATGTGACATGCATTGGGTAAACATCTAATTTATTATGTTGCTTGGTTGATGGAGGTAGGGAGGAATTGGTAGATTGTATGATAAATTAACGCATTTATGCGAGACAGTACTATGAAAAATGCTTTAATTAATAATGAGCTATGTGCCTTGAGTTTGCGTGCTCTATATGGCTCCATTTGATTTTATTAATTTGTGCATATAATGCCAGCCTATTTCTTGCGACCAATGAAAACCCGGCACAGAAATAGCTGCTCTCTGTTCATGTAGGGAGGTATAGGTATAAAAACAGATAAGGTGAGGAAAAAAAAGATGAAAAATCAGTTCACTTCATCTCAAAATTTTACTACACGTGCACATCAAATTTGAAAGTACTACATTCAGTTAATCAGTTATTATTGTTTAGAGACATCTACAAATGACATAAGGGAACAAGGATGAAAGTTCTAATACCATAGAATCTAATACGTTCGTATGAGAGAAAGCGCTCAGCTGCCAGTCTGTGTTTAAAGTGTAAAATACAATTTTTATTAATTGATAGCGCACCAGAGGTCATGAAAAAATCTAGAAAGAACTCAGCTGATATGACATATTAATTTTGCTTTGACAGCATTACCATTACAACATTTTTTTATGTAGGCGCATTTTTGAGTTCACCGAAAAATATGAGAACCGATGAGAAAAGAACTCGCCTCAATGAAAATTTCAAAGATTATTTTTGAGATAACTACCCTACCGGTAAACCAATAAATTATAGAAAAAAGATTATCGTCCTCCATGGTTCGATATTAGAAGCATTAAATAAAGGTATCACAGATTAATCTATTCTAAATATGTGAGGCCTTACCCGGTGAGATCCGAATGAGCCGGTGCGCCATTTGATAACATTGCCTCTAGTATACTAGAATTCTACGGGCAGGTTTAAATCAATAGACGCTCCCTATTGCTGAGCGTTTAAAATGGACTGAGCGCTTAAAAGGTATACTACACATGGGTTTATTGCTACATACCTACTACGTGGTTTATTATCTGCTCATAAATGAATGTAAGAAAGCAGCTTGCATGAGGAAAAAGAAATGCAAAAGTTTCATCTAGTTATTTCTCGGTCGTCTTATGTAATCACACGGTCGATTTGGGTGATTGGCGAAACAGTATTCATCAGAACGAGTGTGGACTGTCCCGTTTTCATGATAACAAGTGTATTGGAGACAAAATCCCTGTGGTCGATAAGTATCAAGAAGCGGGGCATACATAACCGCCAGGCGCCAGTTTACATGTCCTCGTGGAAAACCATACAAAAATCTGCGAATGTATTCCTCCGTGAAATACCATGCTGAAAAGCCCCCTCTATGCGTATTAACTCCTGCAGCCTGAGGAACTATATTATAGTCTACAGTTGGGCCTCCCAAAGAATGTGCCAGCAAGTGTCCGCGATGGTCTCCATTAACTCTGTCCGCCGCGGTCATATGTGCATCAATCGCGCTATTCATCCCAGGCCGACGTTGCTCTAAATGCATAGACCGAATATCGGCCGTTATCACCGATGGCAAAAACACCTCGCCTCCGTCACCATTGGGAACTACTTGCACAACCGCATTTTCGATAGCATTGCCCTGCGAGTAAGTTGTTGGAATCCGTAGGAAATGACGGTAAATGTCCTGGTTATGTGGTGCGTCCGCCAATCGATAACGTTCGTTTATCACTTGATCTAATGTCACCTCTTCAGGAAATATATCGTTGATATTATTCTGTCTTTTTACTCGAGGAATCGGTTGCGAGGCCGAGCACAACTCGAATTTGTTACTTGAATTTTTCCCCAAGTGTTTATTGTAATAGTCTACCTCGTTTACCTTCGGTGTTGCCGGTGAAGGAACTGGCTTTCCTGCTTTTTTAAGAAAATAAGCCAGGCCAGCATTTGAGTCAGTCGAATTAGCGGCGACACCCCAAAAGGCCTTCACTGAAGGAACTACTCTTTTGTATCTTGCGGTGATTTCACTATCGAAGTTTTTTTCGTTCTTGGAACTTTGTTGTCCATCTGCATAGTAAACAAACGAACCGCAGCACAAATAACAAGCTATCAGCAAAATCGCGAAATGGCTCATTATTCTCATTTTTATTTTGACACTACTTAAAGTACATAGAAAGAACAAAAGAGTAGGTACGATTTCGATAGCTTTATGCACTAATTTTGTGCCAAATTAAGTAGGTATTAACGTTTAAAAACGAGCACGAGCACGAAACGTAGACTCGAACGATACGATACGTCGAGTATATCTAACCGCATTACACCCCTATACTTAATTTTTAGCACCAAAGGTTTTCCCAAATTTAATGTCAAAGTTTGCGCGCTCTGAATGGAAAGAGGGGATATGATAAGACAAGAGGAGGGAGGATTGGCCCGAGGTTATCAACAGAAATTATACGTTTTTATTTGTTTGTTTTCAAATGTCTAATTAGTTGAGCTCGGAAAGTTTTAGCAAGCAATCAAACGTTAATCTGCGGAGCGTTTATAGTGTAAAAAAAAAGCTGCCCATAAGTTCACGTTTTTATCAGTTTCACGACTCTCGGCTTCTCGGTCAATTTTTGCTCGCTTGATGTCTGTTACATTTCCTTGCTATCAGTATCATATCGTGAATGGACACAACTAATGATACTAACTAAAATAATAAACACCTAGTGACAAGTTCAAGCCATAATAACAAATTACAAGTCATATAGTGAGGTCGCACAAAAGAGACGAATATTTCAGAAAAGGCTAATAAGGGACCGTTCTTAAGCAACGTAAAACTCCAGGTCGTCATTTCAGATTATTCGCCCGTGACCTGGTACTCTTAAATTCTCTTTCTTTAAAAACTCATTCTGCCACTTTTTCCAGATAGGTGCACAGGTTTTCATCTTCGTGGGTCTGATGATGAACGTTTTGTTTCTGCGGCGTTTTGGGAAGCGAAGAATTGCGATTTTTTCGTGCAGTATAATTGCTTTTTGCATGTTTGGGATCGGATTCCACCATGCTAATCTCAAAGGCCGGGGAACGAACTTTCTTGCTTGGCTCCCGGTCATCCTTTGGCTCACCATTAATTGTTTCGCTGGATTTAGTGCAGCACTCTTGGCATGGCAGCTGGTGTCTGAGGTCTTCCCTATTGTGTAGGTTATCAAAATCTAAAATCCACGGTGATCTTCGCATACTGATAACTCTGACTGTTGTCCATTTAACTGTATGTAAACCAATAGATATTCTTTCAGGCAGCGGGTTGATTATTGCAATTGATAGACACAACTATAGACAAAAAGGATAGAGAGAAAATGTACCGATCCTACTTTTTGAAGCGGGTGGTTGCAATTGACAAAGGAGGCAAGTAACAGACTACGTAACAGGAATCCTCGGGAGCCCCTATGGTTATAGCCTATCATTTTTCCCCTAAGTGAACAACCACCTGTTTGAACTAAAAAGATTGCTCCATTTTCCCGAACAATTTTTTTCCGAAAAAAATACACTATTGCATTCTCCCATGATGTCGAGCCCAGACCCAAGACCCTGTGAAGAGCACTAATCACGGGTCGTAAATCACGAAAATATTTGCCATTCAACTTTATATGTGTTTACATGTATGTTGTTGTCATTGTTTGATACATTCATTTAAATGTGCTTTAACATAATTAGGTCATTAAGGTGAGGTTGGGTAACTGGGCGGTGGGGTAACTGGGCAGTACCCTCTGTATTTCTACCAGATTAGTGCAAAAATTGTTTTCACTGTTGGCATACCTTCATTATGACGTAAACCATCTAGAACATGTAAACATAACTTCAAAAAAAAATTTTATGGTGAATGGTGAAGTGCCGAAAATTGGACAGCTTTTTTTTTCAAAACAACGCCGGAGGTGGTCTCGAAAAGAGCCTCATATCTCACTCCCAGCAAGTATTTTATTCAACTTTGACAATTCTTCTTCATGTATGATGTATTTGTGTAATGCGTGAGTAATTACAACGTAATTGGATGAAAATACTGGCTGCTAAGGGTTGATGCCCAGTTACCTTGAAAATTTTCCCTTTGTGGGGTAACTGGGCACCCACCCCAAGGTAACTGGGCAGGTGGCAGTGGTGGCACCTGCCCAGTTACCCATTGCAAGGTTGCTGTGCTTCGGTGTTTGTTTACTTCTGAAAATGTCAAAACTAATTGACTATTGTGGACTTTTAAGTGCCAAAGACCATTAATCAGGGTTCCCAGCACACTAAACTTCTGACTTAAGTCAATTATAGCATAACTTAAGCATTACTTAATTACATTTTTGCCGCTAACTGTTATGACATCACTTTTAACGACTTAAACATGGTTATATAAATTCAAATGAAATTCTCTGAAACCCTCATGAGAAGGACATTCTTTTCTGGCCAATGAGAATTACAAATAATGCCCCCCTTAAAAATTAAGGGAACTTTTTGGCGCCTGACTCTATTCCAGATCAGCCTTGCGGCTTAATTTTTTTTTATTTTTTAAAAATGTATCATGCTTAATCTCACTAAAAGTGGCCAAACAGTGTCCTGGTATACAATACTACTTTATAAGTAGTAATACAGAAAGTTCTAAGCATTTATCTACAAGGAAACAATTTTTTTTTACCGTTATATTCAATTCTCAGATTTGAGGGTTTTTTTGCCGCTAACTGTTACGACATCATTCTTAACCACTTAAACATGTTTATATACATTCAAATGACATTTTCTTAAACCTTCATGAGCAGGACATCACTTTCTGGCCAATGAGAATTAAAAATAATGCCCCCCTCAAAAATTAAGGGGGGGTAGTCCAGTTACCCCACGACGTTGGGTAACTGGGTGAAAAAAACGGGAAATTTTTGAAAATTTGTGGGAAAAAATTGAAAGATGAAATTCGACTTTTGACTCTTCCTACATTTAGACAAGGTGTAGTACTTACTAAAAAAAATTTAAAAGTAGCCTCCACTGTCAATATAATGATGGGAAAAAAATCATGAAGTTGAAATTTTGACATTTTTCTCCGAACTCCTGCCCAGTTACCCAACCTCACCTTAACACCTTAGAGTAGAGATAAAAAAGAGTAGTGTAAAAATTTAAATGAAAAGACAAGGAAATAATAAATTAAATTTGGAGCTTAAGTCATTTGAGTGCGCATAATGAGTGGGGCCCTTTGTATACCTAATCATATCTATTTAACATCCATAAAATAACCATTTCATTTTGGAGCTAACTCCTATGTATCTTTTGATGATTTGTTATTTATTTTCAGAGGCCGTGGGCTTGCAAGTGGAGTTTCGGCAGCGTGGTCAAGTATAGTGGTCTTCGTCATGATCAAATCGTATCTTTACATAGAGGTGTGGATTGGTTTAAGCGGAGTCATGTACATGTATGGAACAATCACAGCTCTCGGTGTTTTGTACCTCTATTTCTACGTTCCAGAGACGGAGGGAAAAACTTTAGAGCAGATTGAGTCGTATTTCACTGATAATCATGATCCCGAGGAAAAATTTTCAATCGGAAAATCAAAGTGAAAAATTGATATGAGATTTTTCAAAAGACGGCTGTGATAAAATAATTGCGCATCTGATAAGATAAGGGGCACCACTGATATCAGATATTGATTGGCTGATACAAACATAGACTGAGACACGTTGCTGCAAAAAGGAACCAAGCTGCATGCAATTCCTTCACACAAAGTTCCTTTTAATTAATTGGTCTGAGTTTAATGAAAATGCATCAAGTCACATAAAAAAAAAAAAAAAAAAAAAAAAAAAAAAAAAAAAAACCCAGAGTTAAAAGTAGGTTTACGTTTTAGGAGTCGCGAGTTTTCTTCGCCGAAAATTCAAGTAAGAGAAAGAATATTCTTAAGGTGAAAATATTGATAAACTTCGTCAAATGTATCGTCTTGTAAGAAACAAATTTCAAATCTATTTTTCTCGCATTCCTATTAATCTATGTCCAATTTTATCGTAAAGAAGTGCACAATCGAATTTGAAAGGTTTTTTGTGACTTCTTAGCTTTTAAAAAAGACAATAATTATCTCAACTTGTTCAAAATTCACCAATTCATTACAATTTGTTTATCTTTACCTACAATTGGAGCTGATTTGGATAGGATCATACCCAATATACCCGTCCTCGACCTATATGCATGCGCTTAAATCAAGGCGAGTTTAAACTTGAAAATCAGTAATATGTAAAAATTAGAAATACAAAAACTATTTGACAAAACACGACGCTTTTACCGGAAATGATGTAATAAAATCAAGAAATTTGAATACATTTTATAGTACTTTCATAAATCGGTATTCCTTTTTACACATATAGACTTTCTGTTTTGAATATGAGCTATGAAACGGGCATTTGTGTTTGAAGCCAAAAGTAACTTAAAGCTAACAAAAGTTACTACAAAATTACATGGAATTCTTTAAATTTTGACAAGTCGGTCATCAAGATGACCGTTTGCAAGCAAACAACTTGTCATTTGGCTCAGTTTCAAGCCGAGTTTCCGTTAATGCGAAAAGATAGAACTGAGATCATATGCCCAACCTTCGTTGAAAATCAAGATTGAAGAAGATTGAAAGGCATAGACACCAGGTAACTTAGGATTGAGATATACCTACCATCGACATGTGAGGTTTGAGTATAATGAAAGTGAATATGACTTAGAACATATATCTGAGGCTGCCGAAGCGCTACTCTGCATCTGATAACTGACCAGTTTTTAAATATAAACTTAAAAAGTATGCTATTGCGGATGACCACCAGAGAGTATTCCTAAAAATAAGATTCGCAGAAATCTCCTCTGCTCACTTTTGCGAACATTTGATGAAATTTACAAACGATGGAGATCGACCTAGAAATATGTTTAATACTATCATATACCTAATAATCACACTATCAATTAAGTTTCATCAAATTTGTTCTCTTTTGAAATCGATACAGTGGCTACCTAAGTTTTGACTTACATAACCATACTTTATAATTGAAAGAAACTAAATTTTCCTTCAAAACGTCTGGATACCACACTACTGGGGCCTGTCCCAGACAACAGGATAACAAAGTGTTATCCTTTCCTCATGCACAGTAATTGAAAACTTTCAATTGTTTCCTATTTATGTGCTATTTATGTGCAATTAACCTCATTTCAAAACCTCTGAAGGTTAAATGCTAGGATGCCGCTAATTTTTTATAGGTTGGAAAATTTCCGTTATCACTGACTGACAGTATTCTATATTGTCACCTTCCCGCCAAAGTATCACAAGCGCCATGCGGCGCTTCAATATTTCCACCGCCATTTTATTTTTTTACAGAGAAATTTTTCAACGAAGCTGTCCGAAAAGTTCACTGAATTTTCTTCGTGCTGCCTATTAAATTCAGTGAAATTTTCAAACAGATTAAACCAGCAATTTCTCAGTAAAAAAATAAAATGACGGCGAAAAGTTTGAAACATTGCATGGCGCTTGTGAAATTTTTGGCGGGAAGGTGACGATATTAGTCTATAAGTGGATTAGTAATATTTTGCTAATGTTGAACATGAAGGCATTCGTACCTTGATCGAACACATTGACTCGGATATGATGAACAACATAAATGCATAAATATCAGACAAATAATTTTAATACACGTGAAAAATGACTATCTTGCCTAAACATGACAACACGGTTTTGGCTCGTGATAAAATGTAAGGAACTGGTAGAACGCGCACGCTTTTATCAACACGGCTGATTTTAAGTGAATAAAGCTGCTTCGAAGACTTGGAGACTTATCCACTTAAAAGATATTTGTCTTTTCATCTTTTTTATCTATAAACTTGCACGTCAAGCAGCAAATTGAGAAATTTTAGCCGAAATTGAGGCATTGGTACGTTACAATTAGGTATGGAGTGTATTTCCAATCCCAAAAATGACTCTAATTGCATCATTTTAAAAAAAAAATTCAACATGACAGATATTGTCTCTCTCCTTTTCGATCTAACAATAAATTGAATTAGTAGTACCTACACGTGTTGTTTTTTACGTCCGGTGACTGTCTTCAAAAGAGCTGGAAAATTGTGTTTTTTTATTTTCCTTATTACTTTTAAACAAAGATGGGCCCTCTAACCAACGCACCTGAGAGTCATTCAATTCAAAATGGCAACGCAGCATCCTCCAATCGGCCCAGACACTCCACGAGATCGACATGTGCGCAGGTTAGTGGGTCCGATGAGAAACTGCTTTTTTTCGTATAAAACTGACTTCTAAGTGTGGTCTGGAGAAAATTTTCGTCTCAATGATTCTCTGCCTTCACTGCGACAAAATATTTTTTTATTCTTTGTTTCAATAAACCGAAAAATGCATTCTCTTCATTGGAACATTGAAAATCTGTGAACAGGTTTTACTTTTTTTACAAAAAAACCAACCAACGAGATATCTTGATATTTTCACTGCTTTTTCTCTATCATACAAATATTCACAGCAACTGCAAAAGACATATTTTTTGGCAATACTTTCATTATGAAAAATAATATACTAAAAAACCTAGCCCAAAACCCTGGAGAGAAATTAAAATCAAGTTAGCCAATGCTATAGTCAACATTTGAGAAGTGGTATGGGTTGATTCACTGCTGCCCCTAAGTCCGAATCCCTCTCCCGACTGAACATATTGCTATCTACATGACCTCGCTGTGGATGTAAGAAAAAGCAAAACGCCTTCAATACTCAGAGTATGTAACACGCACATCCGTTGAGCTGGTATAGTTGTATCAAAGTGCCTGCACCATCATCGCATCGCTTTATGTGGTCGAATTCTAACTGGTCGATGCTCAAGTCACATAATCGTGTTAAAAAATTGTTTTTTGGTGGTTGAATCAGGTAAATAACTTTAAATCAGACCTACAAAAAAGAGCCTATGTCAAATACTATCGTACTTCGAAGAATACAAGGCATACCGACCAAGCATTAGGATTCAAGAAACAGAAAAAAGACACACAAACAACCTTCTTCTAAAAAGGTATGGACTAGTACTAGTATTAGTAGCACTAGGTAATCTTTCTGAAGATTTTGGTGTTTGCGAGCAGATTTTTGGGTACCACCTGGTTGACGCAAAACCAAAAAAAAAAAAAGAAAGAAAAGAAAAGAAAAAAAGGAGAAGAAGGAGAAGAAGAGGGAAAAAGGGCATATCGACTGCGGTAAATCATAACAGCTTTGATTTCCTCTTCCTTTCATTATTTTCGCTTTCTTCTGTATTCTCTTCTCTCTCCTTTTTTTCCTCTTTTTATTTTCCTTCTCCTCACTTCTCTCCTTGTCTTTTTCCACTATTTTTGTTTTTTCTCTTTTGATTTTTCCTCTTCTCCTGTTGATTAATATTTCCCCTTTTCTCCTTTTTTCTTGTTCTTGTCGTTATTCTCTCCTTTCGTACTTTTTATAACAATTCTTCTTGTTCTTGTTCTTCTTCCTCTTACATATTTGTTTGCTTGTAGATATTGGCTACTTTAATACAAAATTGGCTGCTCATTGAAATAGGACTTGACATAGCAATGACAACGATGGTTATCGGTGCTCTTCACAATAGTGCATCAGAGGAACTCAGTATGAACGACGATCAGGCCTCTTGGTTTGGTGAGCAATTGAGCTATTCCCTAGATAAACAAAATCACTCATTCCTTGTATATCTAGTTTATTTCGTTTCTATTATTTTCAAATTACTCTCATAATTCTATTTTAGCCGCCAAAGACTCTAGTGAAGCAAAAAGACTATTAAGGAGCTTTCCTTACAAAGGCCTTGGCGAAAAATCACGTTTGAGAAAAATGCATCGGAACTTTCCATTATTATTTTCTGGCCACTGAAAGTTACTTACATTGGACGCTGGACTCCAATATTCGGTGTAGGCTACCGCCCGTTCCCAGAAAGTAATAATGAAAACTTCAAATGCATTTCTCTCAAATGTGACTTTTTGACATGGGCCCTTTTTCGGAAAAATCCTATATTTACTCCAGAGCAAATAATAACTCACTTAGGTACATACTCTCACGGAGTTTATTTTTAAACTGGTGGAATCACGTGGAGTGATTGCGCATGCTTTTGGTGCAGTTTTCAACACTTAAATTAATTATACTGAAAACATCATTAATTTTACAGTTTCAATTTGGTTAGCACGGCAATGATTTTAGATCATGACTGAATTCGTTTTTCTTTTGATCAAATATAGGAATTTAACGCAAACTTACACACGTCAAATATCAAGTTACACTTTAAGGATGAAAATAAGGAAATAAAAATGTTTTAAAATGACGGACAGATGGTGCATCTTTGAATATGTACGTATGTAAACTTTTTTAAATTTTACTTCATGGGGTGGGATCTATTTCAACGATGTCACTAATTCTTTAAAGTATACAAGCATGGGATTCGGCTTTACAGAATGAGCAAGATTGTGTAATTTACTGCAGAAATCGTTATTAAGCAAGAGAGAAAAAATAAGGTGTTGAAGTTATATTTGGAATTTATAAAGCTGCAACTTAATGAAAGACCATGATTAGCTGACGATCAATCTAAATTTAATGATTTTTTCCCTGTCCATCAGGTAGTTTACCAGATATTTGTCATCCAGTTTCCAGTCTGTTATCTGGCTATGTCCAGGAGGCCGTAGGCCGAAAAACAGCCATGATCATGGTAACAATTCCATGTTTTGTGGCTTGGATAACTCTGCATTTTGCGCAATCCATCAACACCCTTTACATCGTTTCTATTATTATGGGACTTTGCACAGGGTTAACAGAAGCACCTTTACACTCATACATCGGAGAGATCGCAGAGCCTCATTTGAGGGGAACTTTGTCATCAATCTCCACATCTGCTGCTCTCATAGGTACTAACATATTTTTTAGTACAGGTATCTCCATGAATATACATGAAAATGCAAATCAAGGTTATAAGGTAAAAACACAAAACAGGGCGATTTTTTCTTTGTTCTTTTTTTTTAAAATAAAAAGTTTGATACATACCTATCAAGAACCTACCTCAGCGCACTAGAGCGCTCTGCGACTCCCAATCGGCATTGGAGTCGATCTTCCCACAGACCATCAGGCAAATGACACCTTCTGATCTCCTCCTAATTTATTTGATCTAAGTTGAATTTTCATCGGAAAATAGACTTTATTATTGTAAGAAAAAATAATAAAAGTCGTATGTATTGAAAAAAGCGTCAGCATTAGTCTTTTAATCTTATTTCTGAAGTTTTTGTCCTCTATCGCGTTGAATATTCCTCTTACTATTATGTGTGTATGTTTCATATATCTAGATTCATCAGATTGGAGTCAGATTTTTGGCGACTTTGAAAGCCATGTGCTCTCTCGATGCAATCAAATACTAGTAGAGTATTGACATTTTTCGTCTATGTTGCAAAAAATTAATAATAATCTGATGTATTTTGCCTCCAGGTATGTTCATGATGTACGTTTTTACTTACTTCTTTTACTGGAGGACGGTAGCTTTGATCTGCAGTGCGTGCCCTGTCATTACTTTTACGGTCATGACGCAGGTAAGACCGAATGATGCACATTAGAGGAGATAACCACTTAACAAGCAGAAGCGCTACTCGCCAGGTGGGGGGGGGTTCACTCTTCGCACCCCAGTTTTTAGAATTTGATCTTATCTTGGTCCACTATTATTTAATTATTTGAAGGCTTTATCTGGATTCATCTGGATTTCATTCATATCTGGAAGACATTTTGATCCTCCCAAAGAGTGAATTTTATCTCCTCTCGATACATTTTGAACCCCGTGTTGCACCCCAAATCTAAAGGCACCCTCAAGAATAGCTAACATAGTTATGAATACTGTCTCAGGGCCGGATTAAGGGGGTGGCCACATGGGCCATGGCCCATGGTGGCAAAATTAGGGGGCGGCAAATTTTGCAATTTTTTTAAATGCAGGTACAAAAAAATCGGATTCAGAAAAAAATTACAAACAAGAAAAGGTGACAAAAGCTCTCATTTCCTGAGATTTCATTAATTTCTAATTTTGTCGTATTTCGGTGATACAAAAGACTGCGCACCTTTAATTAGTTGAGTTCAGAGAGAAGCCGAACACGTAATGGGCCACTAGACAAGGTACGAATTTCAGCATTCTGATACATGCTTCTTAATCAAAATTTCACGTAGAACATGATGCGCACAACGAAAATTACCGAAATCAACTCCTAACAAAGATATTTAATGATTTTTGATGCGTGAATTCAAACCACCCGCTCATGAAAACTCAATGCTATACGTGATTCACATCGCGCGCTAAACGTTATCATGACAGCCTCTGCGATATAAAAATCTGGCAACCTCAATCTTGACGCTTTGGCTTAGCTATAGCAAACTGCTAATAGTTTGAACAACACATGGTAGGAGATAAACATTCCCCGATTGAGAAGCTTGTTGAAACCGTTGTAGTGCGCGATTTGACTCACGTAGAGCTTTGAGTTTCTTGTGAGCGGGCAGTTCAAATTCCTTGTAACCACTGTGAAATAAAAACGATAATATCTACGTGAGGAGTTGGTTCCAGTCATTTTCGTTGTGTGAATCGTGTTCTACGTGAAATTCTGGTTAAGAAACATGTACCAGATTGTCTAAATTCGTACCTTGTCTAGTGGTCCATTTGGCCTGGAGCGGCGCGGCGCAAAAATGATGACGAGGAGAGGCCCTCGACGCGGCGGTCAGCATGTAACACATTTTAGCGCCTACGAGACTGCATGAATACTTCACGCATTGCGTCAAACACAGTACGGTCAACAGCGGTCGGCGCGGCGTGAAACGCACAGTGCCTACAAGACTACACGAATACTTCACGCGTTGCGCCAAACACAGTGTGGTCAGCGCGGCTCGGCGGTGGAAGTTAAAATTATTAAACCACATTTATGTTTGTTCTTTCTTAATTTTTTAGTTCATTCCTTACAAATGAAAGGCCTTGTCCCCACAGAGATAGGTTTACGGAACTGAACTCTCGTGCGAAGTTCTGTGAACTTTTGCTAGTAGTGTTGACAGGGCTTACGCAAAAAATGGGTCCAACACGAGTGAACGCGTCTTATGCACCCTTCTCCCTCTGGCACATTCACTTGATGGGTTTTATTGATGTTTCAAAATGAATGAGAAGAGGGCGGCAAAATACAGGCGGCCCATGGGCGGCAAGTAGGTAAATCCTGCCATGTACTGCCGTGCTAAGGAAGAATGTCGTAAGAACCTTTAGACGTTGCCAAGTTTCCTTCGATTAAAACCGAATTCACTGGGAAGATTGTAATTATTATTTTCCAAAATTTTCAGGAAATGATTATGCAATTTAATCTAAAATATCTGATAATTGTAAGGAAAAATATGCATGAATATTGTCAATAATACATGTTTTATCAAGGGATATTTGGCAACTTTTGAATGTTCCTACTGCGTTTTTCCTTAGCACGGCAGAATAGGGCATGCGCCTATAAGGGCCTTCTCCGTTTTTAAAAGAGGTTGACAATTTAAAGTGGTCAATAAGAGTCTGCGTTGAACGTCAAACTGTTTTGTAAACATTAGTTCTTACAGATATGAGTAATAATGCGTTCTCTACATTTTGTTCACAGAAATCCACGATAACCAAGGTCAGAACTTAAGACCTAATTATGATTAGAAGGAATTTTAATTGATTATCATAATCAATTATCATTGATTTTTTTTTATCAACTTTGATTATGCGTTTGTGCGAATAAAACCAAATGCGAGCATGAAACATCACGAACACGTTTAAGTATATCTGATAAAGTGATGAAACTCTTTATTAATAATTACTAAAAATGTAAATTATCTTACGTTCACAGATTCCTGAGTCTCCAACGTGGTTAGTGGTAAGAAATCGGTTGGATGAAGCAAAAAAAGCTTTATGCTGGTTGAGAGGTTGGGTCAAGCCAGCCGAGGTGGAAGAGGAATTTCAATCTCTGGTGAAGCATGCGAAAAAATCTGTCGGCTTGAACCAGGCTGGAGGTAACCACGTAAAATGCATATTTCGGTCATATTTTAAAATCGTAAGAGGAAACCAGTTTAAGATCTTAGCCGGGGTGCAATATCAATTGACCCCACAGGCCCATCTGGGCAATTTTTTCCCCCTTGACTTTTCAGGGGTCTTTGAAGTCTAAAAGATGGAATTAGAGAGGCCTTAAAACTGGAATTTTCGGTGTCGTGGAGCCATACAATTTTGAGCTTTTGGGCCCTTAATGGTCAGTACACCGGGCCCCTGAGCGCTGATCTAGCCCTGCACCGGTTGCACTTTCTTCGAGAACCTCACTTCCTCTCATTTTCTTCACTCTGATAATGATTCATGAATTAAAATATGTAACCGTTTTCAAATATTACCATGCTAAAATGAAAGTCTGATATATTTTTGTGGGAAATAGAGCCACTCTCTCTTTCCCCTGCACGCAAACCCTATGCACATAGTTCTTTTTAGCATAAATATGTCAATTTGAAGCCTTAAGCCAACTTTAATAAGGATAGGCACTTACAATGGTGTAAAGTGGGAAAGTAGATTCAAACTTTAGGGGTGTCAATTTTAACTAACTTAAATCAGCTAGAATGAATCTTAAATGTGTTTTATTTTGAAAGAATACCCATTACAGATGATAAGCCGAGGACGAAAATAGCTTTCCTGAAAATGCAGCTCACGGAAATGACACGCAGAAAAGTGCTCCTTCCATTTCGACAGATATGTATCGTGTTTTTCATTTGCTCGTTGGCCTACTTCTGCGCGATTAGGCCGTATCTGATCGGAGAACTGCAAAAATTGGACACTCCCATTGATGCTAAACTTATTTTAGTGAGTTTATGAATTACTTTTTAACTTACTTTATTCCAAATACAGTTCATATAACCAAACATTTTCTGAAAGCAAACGATGGCATTTAAGAATATTGTTTTACAAGGTTCGTCGGTAGGAGATCATGAGAAAGAAGCTTGGGTCAATTTTGTGAATTATTTTGGTTTTACCTTGGCTAATAAGTTCAAGATACTTTCAATGTTTGGCATTTTACCTCTTTGTTAAAAAAAACTTTTCCTACGGATTCAGGGAGAAAACAAATTCCCACCTGAAAATCGGAGGGAAAACTCCAGGGGTGCAGAAAGTTCTTTGGCCTCTGCAGTTTCGAGCAGCTAGAGATTTAGCCTACACCCAAAGACACTGCGTGTTGGCAATAATTTTCTAAAAATTCTACGCTATCACATCTAGATTTTTTTAAAAACCAGATCGTTCGCACTAATGTTACAAAATATCTATATCCTTGTCATACGTGTTTCTAATCATCAGTGCGTTGAACGTTTACTTTTTAGAATAAAACCGATTCTTCGGTTCGTGTGACCAAACGTTCGGTTAATGTAGCCGAATCTCTTTCATAAGTTCCTTTAACCTTATGAGTTCGGTTATACGAACCGCGAGCGTTCGGTTACACGAACTGTAACATGGATTTTATGAACATGGAACATCGTCACCGACATTTAACATCGTTGGGATGATGTAGAACGCCATGTTCTCCTTCATTTCGTGGATATGCAATTTTACCCCCTTAGAGATTGGAGATTTTACTTATTATACATCGCCATTTTGGATCGAAAATGTATCGAAATGGTGACCGAATATCGATGCACACCGGGCTCGCGACTCGTCGACCAGAACATGAGCCCAGCTCACTTCCAGTGGCGAGGCGTACTTTGCGATGTATCGATCGATACGCCACTCAAACCTATGAAAAAAGATCGATCGTTAGGGTGTTCGCAGCGAACACCTTATTCTTATTAATCGATTCTTTGCCATAGCTTCAAATGGCGAGATATCGATAATCGATTATTCACACCACGCCACTGCTCACTTCATTATATTACGACTCGATGTATTCTATTGTCATGAAATAATTCAGTTATTACTTCTGTATCCAACAAGTCTAAAAAATGTGATATAATATGATTTGAATCTCACACAGCGTATGTACTTACAGATATACTCGCAAGTTCTGTTGTTCATCGGTGCAATGATGAATGTGATGTTCTTGCGGCGATTCGGGAAGCGGAAGATAGCCATATTTTGCAACACTGTAATTGCCATATCCATGTTCGGACTCGGGATCCATTACGCTTACCTCAAAGGCTCAAAGCAATTCCCACTGCTAGCGTGGCTGCCGGTCGTGTTTTGGCTGAGCATCAGCTTCTTTGGTGGTTTCGGCCCAGCGCTTTTGGCTTGGCAGTTGGTATCTGAGCTTTTCCCCATTATGTAAGTTTTTGAATCGAGTAACTTGGACGGCAAGGTGCATAAGTGCAGTTTTTACTATTTCGAGGAATACGTGTATAACGTTTTGAAATTACATGGATCCTTATGGCGGAAAAAAAAGTTCAAACTGACTTTTTGACGCTTAAAAATTGGAAGTGGGGAGCGAAGAGCGACGCCAAGAATGGCACAATTTGGGCCAGAAGGGATTTTTTTGAAACCGGGCCCAAACGATACCTTATGATACCCTAAAACTCTGGTAAAAATTTTAGCTTGAGTATACGCACGGTTTTTGAGAAATGAGGGGGCAAAGTTGCCAAATCGCCATCATTCTGGACAGCATTTCTACAGCAAAAAGACGGGAAAAATGGACGAAAAAGTTACACCTTTGATGGGTTTTGGCTGTAAATGTTCTCATTGGGCCCCCAAGCATTTAAATGTGTTCAGTTTCAAAAATTTTGGTCGCACAGTGGTCCAAAATGGGGGGAAATCGTCGATAAATCAGGATTCTTTGTCAAATTTTTAGAAATGGAAGTAAAATTGTCGGTCTGCTGCAGTTTTCATGGCTGACAATGTTCGTATCGGTCATCAATGCATGAAATTGTGTTCAGCTTCACAAATTTATATCGCACAGTGGTCAAAAATGGGGGAATTAGTGGACAAATAGAGATCCTCTGAAAACTTTTTAAAAATGAAGTGAAACTGTTGGTCCCCAGTAGAGTTTAGATCCCGGAAAAATTCATGTTTTTAATTTTTTTAATTATTACTACATGTCAGACCGTATTGTTTATAGAACTTTGTTATAGAATAGACTTTGTAGCATTATCTCAATAAAATATGCAAACTTTCAGAAATTTAAAAAAAAGAAGGAAAAATGGAGAGAAAAAATTAAAAAAAA